GTACACAGAGGGTACAAGCCGGTGCGGACGCTGATGTCAGGTGATACACACACATACAGGTCCCCATAACAGCGGCACGTGAGGCCACACAGTTGCCCATGGGAAAACTGAACTCATAGACCCATGACAGTGTCACCCACAAACGGGGACATGAACGCTTGAGCAGTACCTATACCTACAGTCCCCTAGCCTAACCCTTGATCATTCACCTGGACACGTACAATAACACCAGCACACAGACAGAATTACACATGCGCGGTGGCCCACAGACCCACAGGAAAATGACATTAGGGACAAGCAGAAATCTACAGTCCCCTGTTGGATGTGAAGCCAGCACTTGTTTACTGAGCATCTGTTATGTACCGGGCGCTGCTCTAGCAGTGGGGATGCAAGAGATCAAAGCCCCTGTCCTCCTGGAGCTGCTTTTTTAGTGGGGGTGGGGGGATGGGAGGGCACCGTCGTCAGATGACACACAGACTACAGTCACCCACAGCGACACTGACAGACGACAGACACCCACCCACACTGGCTCACACATCGACCTGCAATTACTCACAATTAACCCGACACACACCCACAGGCACCCTGACATCCACACACAAACAGAAGCCCACGGGAGTGCCGACACGTGCCAACGGAGACACCACTGGCACAGAGTCGGGCACCCACTATAGCACACGCCCACCTGGATATACAGACACCCACAGAACCCCCCAAAATAGCCCAATGGAGTAGCTAGGAGCCCAGGCCCACTGCAGACCCCCGGTTACAGGCCCATCGGTCGCTGCTGCCTGCGCTTTGGCAGGCGGAGCCCACCCTGACCCGGACCCAGGGTCACCCTGCACCGTGAACCTCCGCGGAAGCGTCTGAATTTCCCATCTACCTGTCCTAGGCCCTTCCCCCACCCCAACTCCAGCCCTGGAGAATCTGGACCCTTCCCGCCTGCTCCATCGCCAGCCCCATATCTGGTAGCGTTGGGACAGAAGCCCGGGGTCCCAGCCCACTTGCTGCCCCCAGGTCTAGGTGGGACAGACGCGCCCCTTGGCTGAGGAGCCTGCGTGAAAGGCCAAGCAGGTGGAGAGGAAGCCATGGGGAGGGCAGGTGGGAACCTAGAGGTCATAGACATAGCATCACCATCACTCCCACCCCCCTGCCTAGACTGATCTTCCCAGCTGGGATGTGGGGAGGGGGGAGGTGCTGTCCTAAGGGCTAAGGAACAGGAAGAGGCAGAATGAGGGCTAAAATGGCCCTGCAGAGCACCCCCTCCTGGCACCAGGGCCTGGGATTGGGGGCAGGGGGGTAGGAAACAGCTCCCCATCTCCACTCTGCTGGGTTTCAAAGTCAGATCGGGGGACATCTGGGTGGCTCAGTCCATCAGTCCATTGGGTGTCTTTTTTTTTTTTTTAACGTCTTATTTATTTTTGAAAGCGCGAGATGGAGTATGAGTGGGGGAGGGGCAGAGAGAGAGAGAGAGGAGGAAGACACAATCTGAAGCAGGCTCCAGGCTCCGAGCTGTCAGCACAGAGCCAGACAGGGGGCTTGAACTCATGAACTGTGAGATCGTGACCTGAGCCAAAGTCGGACGCTCAACCAACCGACTGAGCCCACCAGTGGCCCCTGAGCATCTGACCCGTGATTTCAGCTCAGGTCATGATCCCAAGGTTGTCAGATGGAGCCCTGCGTCGGGCTCTGTGCTTGGTGTAGAACCTGCTTAAGATTATTTCTTTCTCCCTCTGCCCTTCTCCCCTGTGCAAGCTCTCTCTCTCTCTCTAAAAAAAAAGAAAAAAGTCAGGAAACCCAGTTGGCCCTCCAGAAAGCTATAGGACGCTTGATGGGAAGAAGTCAGCTTCCCCTCTCTCACCTCCCCAAGCGCCCCCAGTCCAGAGAGTGACATGCAGACAGAGCAGGGGCCAATCCTCACCAAGGGCCAGCCCCCGACATGGAGGGGACAGGCGGACAGAGATCAGATGTAAAGAGGCCGACACACACGGGCAGACCGAGACAGCAACAGACAGGAGCACACGCGGAGCAGGAGAGCCAGCCAAGTACTGGCCCGTGAGGGGCCCAGTCAGACCCCAAGGGCAAGGGCAGAAGGCTGCACTGACCACCATAGACAAAGGGAGACAGCCGGACCCAGGGCCGCCCCTCCCCCATAGGGCGTGTAGGGGCTTTGGGTTTCCTCTCAGCCTTGCCTTTGGCTGGAAACCCCTCCTTCCTACCGGCCCTGACCCTCCAGACCAGGCACCCTCTGGTGGTCGTAACTTGTCTGGGGGACCGCTCCTTTAGGGACTTCCCTCCCTGGTAGGTCAAGGTCACAGCCCTCAAGGAATCAAGTCAGAGAGGAGACACAGAAGGAAAAGGGTGTCTTGAGGTTTCTCCCTACCCATGGGGCCAGTACCTTAGGCCCGATGACGCCCCACCCCCATTGTAGGTCCATGGTCCCCACAAACAGAGCTTCTGAGGAACCTGGGTGAATTCTGTTCCAAACTCTGAGAGCCTCACCATCCTCATTGATGAAATGGGTATCCTAATAATAGAGCGATGTAGGTAAAGCATGATTATTATCAACTTGCCTTCCCAAACCACCCTTCTCCCCCGGAGTTTTAGGCATTCTGCTCTGTAGGACTTTGATCTTCACTGCAGGAGACCCACATGGCTCACTCAGAAGGGCCTAGATACCCTGAGCCTGGTAAAAGGAAGCCCTCACCCCATCGCCTAAATGGGGCCCTTTTGGCCAGATTTGACGGGTGCCCGGTGGGGGAGGGCTCCCTACTCTGAACTCGGGACAGGTGTGGGAACGTGACTGGACCCTCCCCTTCCCCCCCCCCCCCAGGCCCAAGGGCAAGAATGTGGGCTCTAGGGCAGAGGCTTCATGAAGCAGGGGAATTTCACAGGAGCGAGTGTTTCGGGGATCCCCTCCCAGAGCTTCCTATGTGGGGACAGGTCCTAGAGGGGCAGAACTTAAGGGGGGCGGGCTTAAAGAGGGTGGCCTTGGGGACGCTGTAGGGACAGGGTCCTCGGGGTCCAGACAGGCTGATTTTAGAGGCGGGACCTGAGGGTTGGGCCTCAGTGGCCTGGGTACCGCTAAAGCTGGAATAACGGGGTGCCAGAAGGGGTGGGTTCCGAGGGTGGGGGCTGGAGGCAGGGCTTAGGGAAGCTGGGCTTTTTGAAGATGGGCTTTGAGGGTGGTTTTAGGAGGGCTGAGTTTGGGGGTGGGCTTTAGAGGACAGGTCCCGGGAACTGGGCAGAGGACAGTGGGCTTTCTGAGGCAGGTTTTAGGGAGGGGCCTGGGTCGGCCGGCAGGTCTCTGGGGGCCGGCTCTGCGTGGGGATCCCAGGGACCCAGCTTGGAGAGTTGTGCTGGCTCGGCCTGCCTTCGCCAAGGGGCGTTTTGGGATCCACTTAAGCTCAGCACACTTGGGATCCCTGACCCCCTCAATACTTCCCAGTAAACTGAGAAGGGACTGGAAATTTGAAGGCCCCTCCCCAGACCCCTGATGGAGGTGGCTTTTCCTGAGACTGACTGTGTGTGTGGGGGAAGCTTTGGGGGGCGGGAGCTCAAATCTGCAGGCCCCTGGAGGAGAGACCGAGAATGGGGAGGAGGCAGCATCTCTTGGTGTAGTTGGGAATCTGAGCAAGGGTTTGACGCCTATTTTGAAGGCCAGGGGTGAGCGAGCGACCCTGTACCCCCACATCAAGGGGGCCCCGCTGTGTCGTTGTGTGCATGGTTGCTAACCCCAAAGGGGCCTGAATTCAGATGTCTTGAGACCCTGCAGCTGGCCACTGGGTGTCCCCTCTAGTCGTCTGGCTTCTCCCCTGTCCCTGGACCACGTGGCCCCTCCTCTGGCCCCGCATTTGCAAAGGGGAACAACCCCTGGGGGTTGTTGTGATTCATCAGCAATCCTGCCTGAACAGGGCGAAGCTCACAGAAGGTATTACATTGTATTAAAATGACTTGTTTATCTCTGTTTCATCGGTGTCCTGGGGCAATAACCGCCTGGCAGCCAGACGTCTTGGGGCCACTAGGAATCCCTCCTCTGCCTCTCGGGAGTGCCCTCTGGCCTCAGATTCCCAGACTGACGGATCACAGTCCTCTGCACCTTCTGGGGCTGTTTTGAGAATGATCTGAGTAAATACGTCGAGAAACACGCCCACCCCCCAGTATTGCTACATCTATGTAGCTAAGCCTTCGTAAATGTCTACAGTTATTATTTATATTTATTTTGTGCTTTTTCCAGGGCCTGCTTGCTGAATTACCGAGTTAATAGGTCCCTCACTCCCTCCCGTCTCTCCTCCCCGACGCTATCTGGTTCCCTGCCCCCACCCCACCGTCCAGTCCTGCCCCCCACCCCCCGGAGAAGTTGCCAAGGGTTTGGGGGAACATTCAACCTGTCGGTGAGTTTGGGCAGCTCAGGCAAACCATCGACCGTTGAGTGGACCCCGAGGCCTGGAACTGCCATCCACCCATGAGGACCCCTACCTTCCATATCTGGGGGGCAGGGCAGCTCCCAGATCCAACCTGAGCTTCCCCTCCTTTAGGCCACTGCGAAGGTCACAATCAACATTCATTGTTGTCGGTGGGTTGTGAGTACGGAGGCCAGACCCACCGAGGGATGAATGTCACTGTGGCTGGGCCAGACACAGCCGGAGGGCAATGGATTGGGGGACACGACCCACTCACGCGATGCCCTGACCTCAGCCTCTCACCCCCTGGGGAGGGCTGGCATCTGGGATCCTTATGGACACGGGCCAGATTTGGGGAATAAATAGGGGTGGGGGTTGGGAGGCACCCGAAAACCTCAGTCAACCAATGAATGCGGGGGCGGGGGGGGGGAGGCAGCAGAGTCTCCTTTCTGGGCCTAGGTTCTGGGCCCGGCACCTGCAGACCTCTGCTTTACCCTTCGTTGCCCACTTAGCACCTTGGTGCCGGCCGATCCCTCTTCATCTGCCGTCTCTGCCCCACCTGGATAACTATTGGGGGTATCATTGAGGGAGTGGGGATCGAGGTGCTGGCCATTAGCTCAACCTGTGCCTCTGCTCCGCCCGCCCCCCCCTCCCAGCTTTACTCCCCTCCTGTCCACCCCAGGGCCAGCAGGTAGCCCTAGGGGCTATGGAAACCTGATGGGGGAGACTGGCTTTTGTGTGGTCTTTGTGAAGCAGTGCGTACCTCAGGGTGTTCATCCATCAAAGGGGTTCATCTGAAGTACTGTGTGTGAAAGCTCCCCAAGGGCCTCCTGAGCTGGGGGTCCTGATCCTCCGCCTTCCCCTTGAACCAGGCACCATCCCCCCTTCGAGACTATTGGAGCATCAGCAGCTCCCCCTCCTTCTGGGAAGAGCCCGGGGCGCCTGGTCCCTTCCCCACCCAGGGGAAGGAAGACACAAGTTACTAAGTTACTGACTACCTCAATGCTTGTCTTTGGGGTGAGGCTTCCACCTCCCCCCAATCTCCCTGTGGAGCAGGAGTGGCAGGCCTCACTGGCCTCCTCTGAGAAAGGGTAGGCAGGGGTAGCCCTCCCAATGCCCTCTGGGGGGGTGTGGCTCCCAACTGTGGGTGCCCCCTGCAGCCTGTGATCCTGTTACCCACCCCCCACGGCCCCCAGCCCACCAGGAGACCATGGATCGGCTGGCAGGTGCCTTTATGGGGGAGCATGGGGGAGGGCAGCAAGCCCCCCTGTGACAATAGGGAACCTCCCATGCTCTGCTCCTCCCCTTTCACACTCCCTTGGAGGTATAAGGAGGGAACTGAACAGCCCAGACTCCGAGGCTCCAGAGAAGGGAAGGGAGGACCCAAGAGGAAGGGGCCGAAGGAGGCGTGCGTGCGGGGCTGGCCGGGCCTCCTCTCTCTGCCCCTCTGCCTGGCACACACATTGCCCAGCTATGGGAACCTTCGACCTGTGGACAGATTACCTGGGTTTGGCACGCCTGGTCGGGGCTCTGCGTGAGGAAGAGGAGCCCGAGACCAGGCTGGACCCCCAGCCACAGCCTGCCCCGGAGGCAGGGGCTCAGAGGCCCAGCCCGGAACCTTCGGCAGCTCCAGAACGCCTGTGCTCTTTCTGCAAACACAACGGCGAGTCCCGCGCCATCTACCAGTCCCACGTGCTCAAGGACGAGGCGGGCCAGGTGCTGTGCCCCATCCTCCGGGACTACGTGTGCCCTCAGTGCGGTGCCACGCGCGAGCGCGCCCACACCCGCCGTTTCTGCCCGCTCACCGGCCAGGGCTACACCTCCGTCTACAGCTATACCACCCGCAACTCTGCTGGCAAGCGGGTGTCCCGGCCTGACAGGGCAAGGATGCAGGACCCAGGACATCGCCGAGGAGGAGCAGCAGCAGCAGCGGCAGCGGCGGCCCCAGGAGGAGCAGCGGCCCCAGGGGGAGCAGCGGCGGCGGCAGCCTGCGCAGGTGGCTGGGGAGATCCACTGTGGAGGGGGCTGCCCCAGGCTTGTGGCTGAGTCCCGTGGGGCCTCTATGAAGTGGGATGAACCCCAGTACCCACGTTAGAGGGGTGGGGGAGTTTATATGTGTCGGAAACTTACAACAGTATTCTAGAAGCGTTGCCCGATGTGAGTAAGCTGGGGCTGGGGTTCCCGGGTGGCCTTGGGCAAGCTCGCTCCCTCTTTGGGCCTGTGGGGGAAATCCCTTCTTTACCGGCGGGGTGGGGGGGGGTGACCTGTCGGGGAGGCTGTGGGGACCGGTAGTGGGATCTGCAGGCAGGTGCAGCAGGGGCTCCGGTGCGTGGCACTTAGGGGCTGGGTGGCCTGAGAGAAGTTTTCAGCCTCTCTGAACCCCAGCTTCTTCACGGTCCTCCTTTGTGCGCTCTTTTGTCAAATAGCTAGGGGGTCTGTTCTGGGCGAGTGCTGGGCTGGGTCAGCGAGTGCTGGGCTGGGTCAGCGGTTGGGAACATGTAGACGGGGGAGCGGCATTTCACAGTGCTGAGTGAGAGAGTCTAGAGGAAGCACCTGGATCCAGATGAAGGGGTCCAGGAGGGCTTCCTGGGGGAAGTGACTTTTGCAGGTCTAATTCAGTTTGATGGGCTGCTGAGAGGTGTGGCCCCGGCTCCGGAGCTCGTTCAGGAACTTCGTGTTCAGTGTCTCCGGGACGGGATGCGCGTGCACGTACAGTGCAGGAAGTGTCAGACGTGGGGGACAGCATGGCAGCCTATAGACCTTGGACGTGGGTACTAGGGAGCCACGGGAGGGGCGAGACCAGGTCTGCATGCTGGCAGAACTGTGGTAGACCGGCTGGAGTGTTGGGACGGGTTTGAGGGTGCTGGAAGGCAGGGCGGAGGCCAGTCCTCCAGGCAGAGGTGTTGGGGCGGCCGGGAGGGAGAGGGGCCCAGCACCCACGGAAACGCCAGGTCGTGTGTGGATCAGTGTGGTGGGGCGGCTGGGGCCCAGGTTCCCGAGAGCTTTGGCTGAAGCCTCCCTGAGGTCTACACTGGCCCTCCGCACACTGCCTGGCTCACGCCCCGGGTCACCCTGTCTCAGTCATTGAATGCCGATTCCACTTCTGCAGGTCTGGGTGGGCCCTGAGCGCCTGCGTGTCTAAGCTGCCCCCGGCCAGGTGCGAAGGCCAGGGCCCAGCCAGGCCGCGCTCCACACCGTCATTCCTGCAGACGGGAGGGAGAGGCCTCGGGTTTGAGAACAGAAATCATTGTAGCAACTTTAATCTCCTTCGCAGAAGAGTGGGTCCAACTGGGCCATACTGCTGCCCATTTGGGTGCCCTGTGTGGATACAGCCTCTCCTGTTAGTGTGAGCTCCTGGGGGGGGGGTGACGGGGCGGGACTGTTGCACCCTTCCCCCCAGAAGCTGTGCAGGGAACGGATGTTCAAAGATGGATCTCTAGGAGGAGAGTGGGATTCAGCGAGTCCAGCCGGGAGGTGGGGGAGGCTGAGGGTACATAGAAATGATGGGCTCGGAGTCGGCTGCTCTTCCCCTTTTCAGTGGGAGGGAATAGGAAACCCCCCAGGTTTGGGGGTGGGGGGAGGCAGCGCTCACCACAGTTCTGGCGGAAAGGCCGGCCTCGCCTGTAACATTCCAGGTGCAACAGATCTGGGGTCTCAGAGCCCTGCGGCCGCAAGGGGGCAGCACAGCCAGCTGGAGTGGGAGTTTTCTGGGCTTTGTGTCCTGCTCTGGGTCCCACCCGGGGCTGTCCTGGTCCAGCGGGCACAGGGGTGCTATCCCAGGAGCAGCCCCCAGGTGGCGCCAGAGCCTCAGCAGCCCTGAAGTTTGAACCAGGACTTTTGGGAGCTTTGAATCAGACCCTTGTCATTTTCCCCCTTCTCCCCTCTGCTTAAAATCCAGGTTCCAAAGGTGCCGGGAAGTCTTCTGGACCTTCGCCCTCTGCCTGCTGTCCCTCCACTTCTGCCTAGGAGACCGGTGCAGTGAGGATGGCGATGCTGCCTTCCACTGCGTAGGGGCACCCAAGCTCGGTGGAAGATGTATTTTAGGGGAGATCCAGCTTGCAAGGGCCTGCCCCTGGGTCCCGGAGGCCTGGCTAAGAGAGCAGGGCCTGGGAGCGCCGCTTAAAGAGCCCCCCATGAAGGAGGAGGTGGCCTTGAGTCACCCTGGCCCTGCCCCCCCAGCTCTGGCCAGCCAGGCAGCACTCAATAAATGCTTATGAATGGATGGGTCGGCGTCAGAGAGGCCAGGTGCGGGGACAAGGCAGTGTGAATAGCTTCTAAGGGGATGGGGCACCTCTCTTCTGTTCTCGCTGCGTCTCAGCCCCCACACGTTGCTCTGACCCCCACACTTTCCCCAACTGTTACTTGGATTTTGGTTCATTCTGGAGCGTTGGGGTGAGCTTGCTTCACGCCGAGAAATGGGAGTGGGCACCATAGGGGCACTGTGGGGTCTCGAGGGGCCACCGCAGCCCAGCACCCGAGCACGGCACTTGCTGCCAGGTTAGCACCATGAGGCCACTTCTGTGGTGTCTGGCATGTTCAGACCCCCGCCCAGCCACCTCTCACCCTGATGGCCAGATGGGCAGAATCTTCCACCCGGGTGAGGGCTTGACAGGAGACCGTCTCTCCTCCTCCCCCAGATCATCCTGACCAAGGAGGCCCTCAGTGAATGTTTAGGTGATCACAGATGTCCCAGCAACCAAGGCCATGGAGTCACAGGCCTGACCCTTCAGAATGAGGGAAGGACTTCCTGAGGGGGGTTGGCAAAGAATGGGAATATGTCCCGGGGGGGCTGGGCCAGCCAAGGCCTTGGGCAGAAGGCATCAGTGGGTTTGGCTCTGCCTGGGCAGGGGAGGGGGATGGAGAGCCGTCCCTACCAGGTAGTGTGACCCAGTTCTCCTGGGGCAGGGCTGAGCTTGTGGGAACCCCCACTCTCTGCCTGCTCTACTGGCCTCCAGAGGGCAGCAGGTGGCAAGCGTCTGTCAGCCCCGGGCTGGCCTGGGGCCCGGGTTCCATCCCCAGCTCACACTATCTCGCAGAGTTGGGTGGAAGCAGGATTTGGACTTTTCAGGTCCCCTCTGGCCTTTGCTTGTGGACTTGAGCCAGAACCCAGGGCCACCCAGGAGGAGGGCTGGGGTGAGCTGGGGATGGGAGACAATCCTTGAGGACAGCCTGGTGCCTCGGCTTGGAGAGGGGAGGGACGGAGGAGAAAGAAGACAGAGGAAGGCTCCTTAGCAGCCCCCAGAGTTTCAGACTGAGTCATGGGGACACAACATTGCAGCCACCCCCCGCTGCTTGTAAGTGCTGGCTGTGTAGCCGGAGCGGCCAGGGTTAGAGACCGGGTGCCAGGAGAACGGGCATGTCCAGGCAGGTTCAAGGACAGGGCTGCACATCCAGCCAGAAGTGGTGGGGGGGCCTTGACCCGCCTTGCTCCCAGCATGGGGTTTCCTGGAGTAAGAGGGCAGTGGGAGGGGATCTCTGCCTTGACTCTAGGAACTGGGGTATGGGAGTCACTGGTCAAAGGACCGATAAAGTCTCTGGTCTGGTCAACCTTGCAGTGACCGTTTTAATTGGAGCATCGTGCTCTGTAATGTGGGTTTGACAGCGGCACCTGCAGACTAGCTGTGTCTGCATCTATGACAACCCCCAGGACCGCCCCCTTCCAGTCTGGGGCCTAGAAGCAGCTTGTCCCGTGGAGGATGGTGAGGCCATTTAAGCGCCCAGAGCAAATCTGCCAACTCTCCAGCTGGGTGATCAACTACGATGTCTCGGTGGGCTTGTGGCCCCACAGATACGGGGGGGTGTGCCTGAATGTCCACACATGGGACACACACAGCCACCCACGTCTGGAGGCTGACACACTTAGTAACTGGTGAGGGGCCCGTGGTTGACTAGGCCCGGCCGTGGCCCAACCTGCCTTCCTGGGGAGGATGAGACGTCAAAGGGGAGAGAGTGGTCAGGGAGGTTTGTGGGCGGAAGGGTAAGGAACTGGAAATGCCTCAAACCCCAAACAGCAGGTCACAGATCCACACTAAGGAAGCCTTTATTAATGGTCTAACCAGAACAAATAAAATGGAAATCTGGAGAAAAACAAAGGTACCGCCAACAAAGGGAGCCCTTTTCTCCTCCAGGAAAGAAACGAATTCTGAACCTTCCCTAACCTGAGCTAAAGAACTGAAATTTGCAAATCCAGATAAACATCTGGGCAGCTCTGGGCCCTGCTCAGAAGCAACTGGCTTCTGGAGTGGGGGACACAGGCAGCCTCCAGCCTCGGGCCTCTGCTGCAGGCCCCCTCCCCTGCCAACTCCCAAAGCAGGCTGCTGACCCAGGCCTGGCCCCCGGGTTTCCCACGGAAAGCTGACTTCTGGGTAGGCTGAGGGGAGGTTTCTGGGGCCCTCTAGGACGCACTGGAGCATCTTCTAGGGTAAACCAGGGGGCACAAAGGGCCCTGCAGGCTTCCGGGGGTCTGCTGATGGGTTGTTTCCAGCTGTCTGGCAGGAGTGCCAGGCAGTTGTGTGGGCCAGCGCACAGGCACTGTGAGTGCACACGAGCGTGCACACAGGGCGTTCCTGAGGTGGTCTGGAAGTAATCTACAAATCCCTCCATGATCGCTCCCCCGGCGGGGGGTTCCCAGCTCCCTTTGATGCGAAGGGTGCCTGGGCTTTCCCTGCTGGCCTTGCGGTCCTGTAGCTGAGGCGCCTGAAGGCCCCCAGGTCGCGGTGGGCGCTCATGATCAGCCGGCTGCGTGGGAGAGCCAGCAGGAGTCACGCTCCGCCAGATGTCCGTGCGGGGACCACACCTCACACTCGGGCACAAGTGCCTGCTCACTCTCCCACACAAGCTCACACACCTACACGCACAGGTCACGGACACACACACAGGCGGATGCTGGCACTGGGCCCTCCCCAGCATCCTCTGAGGCCCCGGCCCCTCTGCCACCCGCCCCCCTTGTCCACGGAGCCTGCCCAGCGCTTACTTCAGGTTGGAGAGCTCAACGACAAGGCCATGCACGGTGTCTGTTGCGTCCTCCATCTGGGCAGCTTCGCAGGGCCTGATCCCTGCGCAGGTCCTGGTGGGAAGGCAGGGATGACCTGAGGCCTGACGGCCCGGACAGCTCTGCCAAAGTCTGTTCTGGGGGCTTTTTCGCGGGCCTGGAGCCGTCTTCTCAGAGGTTAGTACCTTTTGCAACCCTGAAGCCCGCACAGGCAGATCCCTGAGGACCAGCCCGGCTGGCCGTGCCACGAAAAGCACATCCAGAGCCCAGCCCCCTCCCTGCCACCTCGGTCCTCGTCCGGACAGCCGCCGCAGCCTCCCTACCCCCCACTTCCTGCCCCTACAGCCTGTCCCCCATGCAGTGCTGGGGGGGTGGGCTGTGAACATGGAAACCGGACCCAGCACCCCTCCCTGCAGCCCTGCACCAGCTGTCAGCACCTCTAGACCCCATCTCCTCCCTCTCATTCCCTTCCCCCCTGCTCCAGCCACGCTGAATTCCTGGCTGTTCCCTGAGCACTTCTTAGGGCCCTGGAATGTTCTTTCCCAAATGTCTCCTCTTGGTGGGGGGAGGGGGCCTTCCCTGATCACCACCCTAAGTTTTTAACCCCTTCCTCACAGACTTTTTCTCAACCCTCCACTTTCTGACTAAGTTGCTGGTCTCTCCTGCACCTACCCCTTCGTTGTGTCCCCCACCGTGTCCCCCACGCCCAGAGCGGTTCCTGGAAAGAGCTGGTCCTGGATGGCGTTAGCGTCTGTGGAAGGGGCAGATGTGCCACAGCACCCACTGCATCTAACGCACGCGGCCTGTGGGTGTGGGCAGCGGGCTGCCCTCCTGGACCCTGGCCAGCAGCTGTTCCTGACCCTCCCACACCCCAGCTGGGCAGGGTCTCCTGGGCTGCCACCACGGGCGCTCTGGTTCTGCCCCACCCACTGCGGTCACCCTGAGCTGGCCTGCCTTAGCCTCTGTGCGTCCCCCTCAGCCACAGGCCACTGAACCAGACCCACGACCTGCCTGAGGGCTTCCAGACATCCGTGTGGGTCATGTCAGAGGCCACCGCACATTCACACATGGATCTCACTCCTCTTTGCTCAAGCAATAGTAGGGCCACTTTGACTAAACTGCCGCTGATCCCCTGGCAGCAGGGTGTGTCTGTGTGTGGCAACAAGTGGTACAACAGGTACTATTTACAGATATGCGCATGGGCAAGAGGTGGGAACATGGCCACCTCTGTCCCGAGGAGGAGGAGAGGAGGAGAGAAGGAAGGAGACAAACTCTGCCAAGGGCTGTGTCTCTCACCCCTCCTCCACACTTGCCAGACAGAAACAGAAACTTGACCATGAATAATCGATAAGCCGCAGCAGCCTCGGCAGAGAGGCCAGTTCAAGTACAAGGTAACAAGAGAGGCGTGGCTGGTGCTAGCGGCTGGCAGGGCGGGGAGAAAGGGCACAAAGGGAGGTGATGGGCTTGTGAAAGGCTCTGGGGTGGAGACAGGACCCCCCAACACACACACACTTTCCACGGCCTGCAGGAGGGAGAGGAAGTGGCCTGCCTCAGGGCACAGAGCCAAGTGAGGAGATGGGACCAGACAGGGACCCTGGAGGGCCAGAGGGTGCCAAAGTCACATGGGCCAATGGTTCTTAGCCCTGTCAGGGTCCTCTTCCCCTCCAGAGATTCAGGGAAAGCTCTAGAACCTCTCTCCACAAAACAGTACATGGCACGTTGAAACAGCCCATGGACCTGGGGGCACCTTCCCAGGGGTCCTGGGGAGACACTGGCTTAGCTATAGATGATCACCAGTTCTCCACTCATGGGGATCAGGGGACAGGCACAGTTTGGAAGGTGGGGCGTGGCTCCCTTACTGAGGCCCATCCAGGGCGTGGCAGGCCTAGGGTGACAGAAAGTAGCGATATGTTCCCTTCCAGGGACTGAGGGACGTCAGGTACCGGGGCAAGGGTCCGGGTCAGCCTCCCCCCACCAGGCCTACCTCAGCCGGAAGTCAGTGAGGGGGCCTCTAACAGCCTGTGGGCTTGTGCCAGGCCAGCCAGAGCCCAGCCTGCTCCTCGGAGGAAACAGCTGGAAAGAGAGAGCACACCTGTGAATGACCTAGCTGTGAGCCCTACACAGGGAAGGGTCATGCAGGGGACCTCTCGGTTCCTCTGGGCCACTTCATGGACACGGAGACAGAGACTCCTGCAGAACAGTGGTGCAGAGAAGGGACAGGATGCTGCGACAGCCAGACCTGGGGGCTGCCAGCCCTGACTGCTGTCCCCACCTCCCCATCCCACAAGAGCGGACAGGGTGATGTGGGGACTGACCCTGGCGTCCCCTGCCGGGCCTGTGCTTCCTGAAGGGCTGATCTGCACTGGCATGTGGCTCTGTCTCTGACGGCTGCTGAGGCGTAGCGCTGTCTCCTGCTCATCCTGCCGTATCTGGAAAGGTACAGAGAAGACGCCCAGTAGTGGCGACTGGGGCGAGGTGGGCATCTGGTGTTGAGGGGGAAAGGTCAGCCAGGTTTCGTGTCAGGGAGAGATTTTGCAAATGCAATGTAAGGGAAAAACTTATAATTAATAGGAGAGAAAGCCAGATAACCCTGAGAAGTTTAAGTTTCTAAATGTCAACAGTGGTTTAATTTTCATGGAAAATGTCAGGCTCAATCATGGAGGTGACATACGTCCCTCTGAAAAGAGGAAAAGAGGCTGGGGTAGAATGGCCAGTCCACGGCCTCTTCTGGGACGACCAAAGTCCTAGAGTAAGAGACCCGTTCCAAACCACCTCCTTTTAGAACCGAGCCCCTCTCCCCCGACAGGGGTGGGGAATGGGATGAAAGGCTTGAGCTACAGCTTACAGCTGCAAACCATCCCTCAATCCCAAGGGACAGACATGAAGACCTCCTGTAGTCCAGTGGTCGCCCCTAGGCACTTCACGCGGGTCAGCACACTCCGGTAGCGGGGACGTGCTACTGGCATCCTGTGGGAAGGGGCCAGAGTGCTACCCAGCACCCTACAGTGCACAGGGCGGCCCCACCACACAGAACCATCTGGCCCCAGTGCCAGCAGTGCCGAGGCAGGAAGCCTGTAGTTATCTCGCAGGTGTCTGACCGACCGACTGTTTCACGTAAGCGACTCTGTGGCTTAAAATACAACTTGGCATCACGCATTCACTCAACTCACTGAACCGTTCTAGGCCGTGAGGAATAGTCTCCCTCCCAACAGGGACTGCTGCTGCCACCAGGGTCTGTGAATGTGTGACACAGTAAGGGCGGCCCTCCTCCAGAACGTGCCGGAGGCCACCACTCTAGGACCCAAAAGGGACTCCGAATCTGCTTTTTTAAGTGATGGCCCTTGTGTGGCAGTGGCATACGGAGGCTCCAGTGGCCCTGTGGGGAGCGTCACATCCTAAGGGAGCTGTCACAGGAAGAAAGCACCACAGTTTCCCGGGAGGGGACCTGGGTTTGAAACTGGTCTATCATTGCTGTGTCACGTCTGGGACACTCCGAGTTGCCTCCTATGAAGCAGTGCTCATGGCTGTGCCACCGTGAGAGGGAGGGACGGCCAGTGGGCGGCCGCTGCTGCTACTCTCTCCATCCACCTGCACTCTGTCCCCAAGGGTCTCTGTCCACACGGCCTTCCCGCCGGGCCCCATCCAGAACCTTTCCGTGGGAACCTGCCCATGCCGGGGTCACCCCAACTTATTCAGGAACGCCCAGTATCCAAACAGAATGTGCCCAGGCAGCCTTGTCAGGGCAGCGCCTCCGCCCCCGGAGGGCTGTCAGGTCTGACCACCCAGGCTGTGTGCCGGTCCCGCCGCTGCGGATTCCTTGCTTCAAAGCCCAGAGTCACTGGTGGCTGATCAGGAAGGGCTTGCTCCTTTGCCTGCTGGATGCCACTCGAGAGCCCACCTGCTCCTTTAGCCACAGCCCAACAGCCAGACCTGGGGTAACTTAGACTGCTCTTCTTTCCAAGGGGATGAGGCTGTGCCAGCAGCTGAGCGCCCATCTGTCCCAGGTGTTTGTGTTCAAACGCTAAGAGAGGACCACACCGTGACAGGGCATACAATGTTTACTATGGGAGAGGCAGGTGGGAACGGCACAACCACAAACCTCACAGGCAGGGACCACGCCTGATCTGCTGGCTCCTGGCAGAGCAGGCTCTTGATAAGCCTGTAACTGAATTAAGTTTTTAAACATTCCAGGGGCAGTTGGGTGGCTCAGTCGGTTAAGCGTCCGACTTCAGCTCAGGTCACCATCTCACAGTTCGTGGGTTCGAGCCCTGCGTCAGGCTCTGTGCTGACAGCTCAGAGCCTGGGGCCTGCTTCGGATTCTGTGTGTGTGTCTCTCTCTCTCTGACCCTCTCCTGCTCATGCTGTCTCTATCTCTCTCTCAAAAATAAATAAAAAACATTAAAAAAAATTTCAACAGGACAGCCGAAGAAACGGAGGCCGCTGTTTGTGAAGCAAGGGGCTCTGTGTTCCAGGGCAGGCGCAGCTGCAGAATGAGGCCGACCCGGGAGCAGACCCAGCCGGCTGCACTCCCAGCTGCCTCACCTTGGCAGGTGCCCCACCTCCTCCGGCCTCTTATCCACGCCCAGTGTGTGGAAAGAGAGCCACCTACCTTCCAGGGTGTGACTGCAAAGCACTCAGCCCAGACCCAGGTGTGCCCGAGGTCAGGGGTGTGGTGCCTCCCTGAGGGTGAGGCCAAAGCAAGGGTGCCGCCTGCCCCAGACTGGCGAATGCCGATGGGATGACCAGCATAGGTAGCGGGGGGGCGGGGGGGGGGAAGGTGATGCTGGGCAGCTCTCCCACTGCCTGTTGGGCAGGCAGATCCCTGAAGGAAGGAAAGTCCTTACAAATTCCAGCAGGAAAGCAAAATTCTTGTCTATATTTGAAAAAAATTTGTATCAGGACCCTGAAACGACTCTTAAGATGGGCAAAGGCACTTTTCAGTTGGAGACTGAAGTCTGCTCCATGACCAGCTTTGGCATGACTGGCCGTTTCAAAGTTACCCTTCAAGGTCTCAGGCATCCTCTTTATACCCTTCAGAACCCTGCAGTCTGGCCTGGCCCTGCGGCCTGGAGAAGGTGGGTACACCTGGGGGCCCCAGTTGAGGAATGAGGAATGGGGGACCTCCGTCAGCTCTGCCTGGGCTGACAGAATACCTGTGGGTCACTGCCTGGGGCTCTTCAGTTCCCACAAGCCCCCTGCAGAGAGGCAGGCCTGGCCAACCTGGAAGATCACTGATTCCACATGCACCGAAGCTCCAAGTCGTTCCCCTAGACCCGTGTGCCATATAAACAGATGGCCACGCACCGCCCCCCCACCCCCCCGGGGTGGTTTGGGAGAGGGCTCACAGCCACTCAGCCCCTAGCCTGGGATGGTGCAGTTGTCACGTGGGGAAGCCCTTACCTGCTCAGGTGAGGCTGCGAAGTCAGGGGCTTCCAGGGCGTCCCGTATCTGGCTGTCTGGCAGGAAGTCAGGTTCCCTGGCTGGAGACTCCCCCAATGCAGCCTGGTCTGCACGGCCAGGAAGGGGATCAGGCCAGCCTGTGGGGTCTTCAGGGGCATCTGGGTGGTCGTGGCAGGCCCTGGTCTCCCGGGAAGGACCACCCACTGCTTCTCTGTGCACTGGTGGAGCAAAGGCTCCAAGAGACAGATTGAACCACTCAAGGTCTTGTTCAGGGCTCTGGCTCCCTAACTGCGCTGCTTCTTCATCTGCAGGTGGACACAGCAGGGGCAGCGCACACATCGCCCTCAGTCCCTCTTCACCTTGGCCAGGCACGCTTGTCTGACAAACATGTGGGCCCATTTCTGAGGCTAGAAGACTGGAATCTTCGGAACCTGCTGCGGGTTCTTTTATCCTGTGATCCAGAGCCAGGGAGCCTGCAGGGCCCCCCAGGATGTTGCCAGGGGGCTTGTCTTCCCACCCTGCCTCCCTTCTGCCTCCTGTTTCCCCAGTGACAAGTGTGCAGCTGAGCAGGGCCCCACTGTGGCCTCCAGCAGAGGCCTTCCCACTGCGAGAGGAAGGTGCCCTGGTGTCGGCCTGTTCATCCGGCTTGGCCACCTCTGGAGCCCTCTGTTCTGGCCCGGTGGGGTCTGTGCTCCTGGCTGCGATGACAGCGGTCCCAAGGGAGGAGTGACCTGGGCTGCCACAGCTCTGCTCTGCTTCACTGCCGGTCTTGCTGGGCGTCTGCAAGGAGTCAGAGAGGGCCTGGTCTGCGGATCCGGGCTCTGGACCCTGAGTGGCGGGATGTAGGACACTGTCTCCCTCCTTGTGGCCCTCGGGCAGGCCAGCCTCTGCTCCCCCTTGGGCGCCTACTTCCTGGAGGCTTGCTTGGTCTCGCTCCGTCTCTTCAGCATCACTGCTCAGCAGGGGCCCTTTCTGGCCATGGTGGCCTAGACCCCAACACCCCTCCCTGCTTTCACCATCTGCTGTGTTCATTCCTTGCTCCGACAGGTGGTTCTGGCTGGCCCTCTCTGAGGCCAAGGGGACCGTCCCCCTTTCTGGAGAGGCACTGGTGGAAGCCGAGGGCTGGGAATCCCCATTTCCAGGCACAGGTGTCATGGGGTTTTGGTCTCTGTGTTCAGGGTTAGTGCTGTCTCCCTGGGTCTGGGCTCCCAGCTCCCTGGCCTCCCAGGAAACAAGCCCTAGGGGCTCCTCCCGCAGTCGGCCTCTGGCCTGCTGGGCCCTGGGCCCTGGCAGTGTTTCCTGTGGAGAGAAAAAGACTAAGCCTTGAGCCTCCAATAATCAACCATCCTAAACACTTTTCTAGTTGTAACTGCCCCTGCACAAAGCCCCAGATGTTGCACACGGTGCACCCAGTACCGTTCAGTACCAGTGCTGGGCGTAGTGAGAGCCAGGGGCTGGAGGGGGGACCAGAAGCACAGGAATCCCTCTTTCCATCAGCTCCTGCTTCCCACCAGTACTGGGCACAGGGAGGCAGATCAAGGATATAAAAATCAAGACGGCCCCTGGATTGTGCCAACGTCAACTGACTGGGGTTGGCAACAGATGCTAGTTAGAAGATGTTACCACCAGGGGAAGCCGGAGGACAGCACACAGGGACTTCTCTGTACCGTTGTTTTCAACTGTGGTCAAATACACATTGCAGAAAATTCACCGTCTTCATCAGTTTAAAGCGTACAGTTCGGCGGCATAAAATACATTTATGCTATTGTGCATGAATCTCTCTCTCTCAGTCCTGGGCATTCAGGCATCCACCACCTACTTTGGATACTTTCTATGGATTGACTCCTCTAGGGAGCTCCTATAAACGGAATCCTACAGTATCTGTGTGGCTGGCTTATTTCACTCAGCAGAATGTCATCCAGGTTCATTTATGGTGTGTCACAATGTCTTTGCTTTTTAAGGCTAAATAACATCCCATCGTACGGATATGCCATAGTTTGTTTATTCATCTATCAATGGACACTTACATCCGTACTAATTCTGCAATTTTCTATGAGCCTATAATTATTTCAACATAAAAACTTAAGAGGCACCTGCGTGGCTCAGTCGGTTAGGTGTCCGACTTTGGCTCAGGTCATGATTTCATGGGGTTGTGAGTTCAAGTCCCACGTTAGGCTCTGTGCTGGCAGCTCAGAGCCTAGAGCCTGCTTAGATTCTGTGTCTCCTCTCTGTGCCCCTCCCCTGTGCACTCACACATGCACGAGCGCTCTCTCTAATAAATAAACATTAAAAAAAAATTTAAAAGAGAGATGGGGTGCTGGGTGGCTCAGTAGGGTAAGCATCCAACTGTTGGTTTCGGCTCAGATCATGATCTCATGGTCTGTGGGTTCAAGCCCTGCATCAGGCTCTGTGCTGACAGCATGGAGCCTGCCTGGGATTCTCTCTCTGCCCCTCCCCTGTTCTCTCTCTCTCGCTCACAATAAATAAATAAACACACACACACAAAGCTTATGAGAGAGGGAGAAGTGAAACATCTCTAATGATCAGAACAGGGCAAAGAAGAGGGTTCTGACCAGGATGTAGATAGATATTGTCCCCTTGGTGATGGCAACTGAGTGCAGGCACTCAGACCCAACCCTGCAGAACACTGCAGCCCCCAGATCTCCCCCAACTCTAGACACTGGTATCTCCTGGTCACATCCAACATCACGTGACCGACACCAGCCCCTGAGTGTGCCCTCAGAGGCGCCCTGTCTCGGCTACAATAGCTCCACCCTTCAAGCTATTCGGGCCCCTAACTCTGGAGTCAACCCATCACCTCCCTTCATCTCACAACCATGCCATTGACTCTCCTTTCAAACTGGACTGCAAGTAATTACATGTGATAGGCAGGGACTGAGGTCTGCACCCCAGCAGCTGTCCCGCCATCCCCCCATGCTTCTCTCGTACAGTTATCAGCACTGAGGGACACGCCTCCTCCACAGTTACCTCCCTACGTCAGCCAGGTCCAACCTTTCTAGGAGGATGTGTGCTGCACATATCAGAGCACTGAAGGTCACGGCCTGCCAGTCTGGCTTCAGTGAAGCCACTGGCAACCAGTTGCTGAGTTACACACAGCATTTCCTGCACAGTTTCATCAACAGTGAAGCTAAGACCCATCTTATTAGTTAGTTAATTTTATTTTTTTAAGTGAGTTCTATGCCCAACATGGAGCTTGAACTCACAATCCTGAGATCTAGAGTCGCATGCTCTACCAACTGAGCTACTCAGGCGCCCGATCCCTCTTTTGTTTGTATGTATGTATGTATGTATGTATGTAGTTTATTTATCTTGAGAGAGACAGAAACAGCACAAGTGGGGAGGGGCAGAGACAGAGGGAGAAAGGGAGAATCACAAGTAGACTCCACGCTGCGGGTGCAGAGCCCAATGTGGGGCTCAAACTCACAAAGCCACAAGATCATGACCTGAGTCAGACGCTTAACTGAGCTACCCTTATTTAACAGGCACCCCTCCGAACCCTCATTGAAATTTTTTTAATTTTTTAATTTATTTTTATTTTATTTATCTGAGTTGTCAGCACAAAGCCCGACGTGGCGCTCGAACTCATGAACCGTGAGATTATGACCTGAGCCGAAGTCAGATGCTCAACTGACTGAGCCACCCGGGCGCCCCCTCCTTCTTGTTTTTAAATTACACGTTCTGTGAGATCGTTGTAGATTTATATGTAGTTATAAAGAAATGGCAGGGAAAGGTCTGTCATGCCCTTTACCCAGGTTCCCCCGTTGGTTAACATCTTACATGACCTGAGTACAAGATCACAACCCAGATACTGACACTAATAACGTCCACCAACCTTATTTGGCTTTTCAGCTTGACTTATGCCTGTGTGTGTGTGTGTGTGTGTGTGTGTGTGAGAGAGAGAGAGAGAGAGGCTGAGGCTGTGCGTCCACCACACAGGTAAGATACGGGAAATCTCCAACACAGGGTCCCTGATGCTGTCACATGGGGCCACACTCACCTCCCCCCACCTGCTCTAAACCCCCTCGCAGCCACTAATCTACCCACCATAACTTTCTCATTTCAATAGTGTTATGCAAATGGAAGCCTACAGAGTATAACCTTTGGAGACTGGCTTTTCTCACTCTATGAATGCCCTAGAAATCCATCTAGACTGTTGGTGTGCATCACCGGTTTGCTCCTCTTTTACTGCTGGCTTGTGCTCCATGCTGCATTCAGCCATTCACCCACTGAGGGATACCGGGGGTTCCCAGTCGGGGATGCTCACAAACGCAGCTGCTGGGAATGCCCACTGCTCACTTCTGTGGGGGCCCCTGTTGCCAGAGACCTCATCACCCCGGGAGCTCATGGTAGAAAGGACAAGAAAGTGCATTGTAAGACCACCCCCATCCCCAACCACACAAAAGCTTCCAAGAAGTAAATGGGTTCAGGGATAGAAGGTGGGTTGTCTTTCTGCATTTTTACTACTATCCTGCAACCTGGGGAAGAAGGCCGTGGCCTTGACCGCTTGGGTGCAGGCACAACTGTCCTGAGAGCCTCTCACAGGCCTGGCACGTGCTCCAGACATGTGTAGCGTCACACACTGAAAAGGGGCATGCAGACAGGTGCAGGTCTAGCCAGTTCCAAAGAAAACCAAGGCTGAACTCGGTAGCCAAGGCCGGGCCAAGCAACTTCTGGGTGTGTCCAGGGCTCACCTGGCTGATTGGGGAGGTTCCACTCCCAAGGTCCTCTTCCCTCATCTCTGCTGACCTTGTCACTATCTTCCTGGATTTTGCAAACTGGGGAACAAACCTCCTGGCTGAGTTCTGTGAACCAGATACAAGAACAGAGCAGCAGTAAAGGTAAGGGCAAACGAGGTGTCAGAAAACAAACACCAAACCAGCTTCTTTCTTGCAGCTTCAGATGCAGTCCTTGCCCTCCACCCCCTCCCCAGCGCGGTCTCACCAGTCTGTCAGCCTGTTGATGATGAGTGGAGACAAGAACTCCAGCTTAAGGGAGGCAGTGTCTTTAGTACATATATGAGGCCATGAACCAGGCTCACCTGGGAAAGAGGAAGGGGCGCTGGCTCCTTTTCTGGTTGCCCGAGGAGACTGGAGGGAGCTCCTGCTTCCTCAGCAGGGGGGCTGGGTGGAGAAAGGCATAACTGAGGAGGTTTTGAAGTTCTGGGGAGCTGTCTGTGCACGTGGTAAGACAAACAGAGAATGAATCCAAAGGCAAAGCAGTACTCAGTCTCCTGTAAGGGAGGCCCTGGAGCACCTGCTTGGAGGGGGTGGGACAGAGAAGGGGAGCAGCGCCCAGGGTGACACTTGACTGCCAAGGAGGTGCAGAGTCTCACATCTAGAATCCAAGCTGTCTGCTCTGGCAGCACTTTACCCTTAGAATTCCAGGAGTTGGCTCCTGAGATAAGAACAGGATTTCTCATTTGGAATGACTCTCCAGCCCCCAACTCTGCGAATTCCAGAGAAAGGAAGTTGTAGATACAAAAAACACAGGGTGGGGGAAAAACAGGTGTATTCATTAATTGCCAAGACGCAGAAGCAACTGAGACTGCATTTTGTGGGTGAATGGATAAATAAACTGTGGTACAGCCAGACAACGCAATGTTATTTGGCACTAAAAGAAATGAGCTACCGAGCCGTGACAACATAGGGAGGAGGCTTAAGTGCGTATTACTAAGTGAAAGAAGCATTCTGAAAAGACTACATACCGTATGACAGAAATGCTAGGACATTTGGGAAAAGGTGAAACTATGAAGACAATAAAAAGATCCATGGTGCCAGGGTTGGAGAGGGGAGAGATGAGCAGGTGGAGCACGGAGGGTTTTTAGGCAGGAAAACTACGCTGCATGAGATTATAATGGTGGACACATGTCATTCTACATTTGCCCCAACCCACGGAATGTACAACACAGAGTGGCCTTTCTAACGTACACTGTGGATTGCGGTGTAGATCACGTGTTGGTGGTCCATCCTGGGTAACAAGTGCACCGCTCTGGTGAGAGATGGTGGTGATGGATGAGGCTCTGCACGTGTGGGGGCAGGAGGCTACATGGAAACTCTCCTCACCTTCTTTCCAATGTTATCGCAAACCCAAAGACCTTTAAAAAATTAGGTCTTTTTAGAAAGCTTGTGAGACTTATGGTTATATCTAAATCAGGGGCGCCTGGGTGGTGCAGTTGGTTAAGCATCTGACTTCAGCTCAGGCCATGATCTCGTGGTTTGTGGGTTCGAGCCCCGCGTTGGGCTCTGTGCTGACAGCTCAGAGGCTGGAGCCTGCTTCAGATTCTGTGTCTCCCTCTCTCTCTGACCCTCCCCTGCTCACACTTTCTCTCTCTCTCTCAGAAATAAATTTTAAAAAATTGAAAAAAATCAAAATCAGGAAAACTGCATGATTTCAACTTTGCAAGTGGAGCAGGAAAAAGCATGAAGATACAGTAACAGGTTTACACTGTGCCAGGAGGTCATGGAGACGGAGTAAATCTCAGTACTGATAGCAAGCGTCTGAACATTTTTCACTGGAGTGGGTTATCTGGGTGGCCGCTAGGGTGCTGGTAGAGATTTCATTTCTCAACATAAACGTGTGAAGCTTGTTAGCTTTGTTCTTTTCTGTTAGACTCCTATGCCTGTGGTGTTTTTTAATTAAACATTTTGACAACAAAAAACAGAAAAAAGAGGGTGGGAACCCACTTCTGTAGGTTATGACTATTCTCATGCACTGGGACTGCAGGGTGGGCAGTGCCTGGGACCCCACGAACCTTGCTGGCCTCTCCAGGAGCGAGCAGCCCAGTGACATCGTGGTGTGTGTCTGGGAGAACAGGGTAGGTGTGACATGCGGCCCCTCTCCGTATCACATACACAGCAGGGCTGCCTTCACTCTTAAGGTTGCGGTGACCTGAGACCACACCACCCCCACCGCCAAAAACCGGCCTGTTGGTCAGACCAGGTGCCACAACTTTCACTCAGATAATCTAGCACACCAATCCATGACGCTTCCTCTGAAGACTTCCGGCAGCGGGAATCCTCCTAACTCCTGCTAGCCCTATTTTGTGGTAGTTACGTGTGGTTTCACTCCATGAATAGACTGTTCTCCAGATCTTTCTTTTTCCCCCATTGTGCTTAATTACATATTCCTGAAAATAAAAATGAGGAAGCCGGGAAACCATGGTGGTTAGGAGCACAGGAGCCAGACACAGTCAGAACCCCAGCCTGCCCTGCACCAGCTCGGTGGCTTTGGCAAGTAAGTCATTTGGTTTCTAGAAATTTCAGAGTCCTCACCTGTGACACGGGGATAAAAGCCTATCTCACCGTGTCATGAGGATTAGACGAACACATAGACGTAAACTGTTTAGTCGTAGCACCCTGTCTGGCACGTAGTATTTGCAATCCTCTTTCACGGCTTACTGTTTCACAGGCCCACAGCTCCATCGGTCCCTTCTTGGGAATGTGGGATAAACATGGATTTGACCAGCAGACAGGACAAGATGCATTCTATCACTAAGCGACCTTGAAAAAGTCAAGGTTTTCCTTGCCCGTGGCTAACATATCAACCTATCTCTCTGGAGAGGAGAGTCCTGGGAATGGCTTTGAGAAGCAACCCGAGGGGCCCCAAACCCGCAGGGGGAGGCGTGGCATCGGGTGGGTCATGGTGGTCCCTTCCCCTTTGCACCCTGCCTACTGGGCTGCCGTGCTGTGCCCACTGTTAGTGGGGAGGCTTGCTGGAATGTTCCGAGCCACCTACCTGGAGGCTGCCTGTACTGGTTCCTCTGTCCCCTGTTCGGCAGAGGGAACAGGTCCTGATCTGCCTTCTGACTCTTCGCGGAGACACAAAGAGCCCCACTCAGAAGTCTGGGAGGGCCCGCCAGAGTCTCCGAGCCTTGGGTTCTTTGGAGGACGGATTCCTTCTCCGCCTGGTTTAGAGAGAAAGGAAAATGAAGGGACGGGAGGTGCAGGGAGCAGGCGCCGCCACGGCGACAAGCAGACATGGCAGGGCCACTGCTGCCACACGGACAAGCTTGTTCCAAGGGTAGGAGACCCCTGCTCTGACACTAGCCTGGAGAGAGAGACGGCATGGAGCCTCGTCTAAGAGCTTAGGTGGCTGTGGGATTCAAAGGCTTTTTTTTTTTTTTTTAATTTTAAAAATGTTTATTTGTTTTTGAGAGAGAGAGAGACTGGGAACAGGGGAGGGGCAGAGAGAAGGGGACAGACGTACCACGTTCACTTGGCGGTTTGTGCCCCAGTAGACCACTGCGACTTCTCTGTGATTTTTTTGATTCTGTTAGTTATGGTTCCCGTGTACCCACTTCGAACTTCACCTGACTGTGTGTGTCTGCATTAGTGCTCTCGGCAAGAAGCATTTTTCTGTCTCCCCTGCCTAGACCCTGAGGCTCATGAGGGCAGGAACTGGGTCGGCTGCCCCTTTGACCTCATCCTTGCCCTGCCTGCCGGCCCACTCTGCTTAGGTGCCCACGCGGGCGCTGGACTCAGAGCAAGGCTCCAACAAATGCTTCTTACGCAAGCATATTCCCACCCTGTGGTCTGCCAAAAAAGGCAAAATCGAGCAGCTTTGTTTATTTGGTTTCTTAAGATGCCCCAACGCCAGCTCCCTTTACTCATCCAACGGACATGTGTACCAAATAAAAAAACAAAAATATCAACAGAAGTGAAGAGCCTCCCATTTCCTTCCTGTGATCTATCCCCACAGGACTCATTTAAGAAAAACTAAGGCAGAACCTTATGTTCAACACCACAGGCCAAAGACGTTGGGAGGGAAGGGTGTCTTTCACCACCTGCCAGAATCATCTTCCTCTGTCCCCACCCCTTCCAGGACACACAGAAACAGCTGTCCTGGGCCAGCCTGGGGTCCACCGAGCTAGGGAGCCCACTGCCAAGAGAGGCCCCAAATGACCTGCTGTGGGTGGGCCTGGCTGTCCCCAGCTTCCCCCTCCAAGGTCAGTGAAATTCCTGTGTTCTCCGAGCCGCCTGTTTCTCATCTCTACCCAAAACATTTTCAATCCGTTGCTAATTTTTGTTCCACATGGTGGGGGAAAACAAATGAGTGCTACTCCCTATGTTCATTAATCAGTAAGTAATCATTTCTAAACTTTAAAACATTTTTAGATCTTTATTTACTTGAGAGAGAGAGAGAGAGAAAAAGAGAGAGTGTATGTGGGGGAGGAACAGAGAGAGGAGACACAGAATCTGAAGCAGCCTCTAGGCTCTGAGCCGTCAGCACAGAGCCCGATGAAGGACTCGAACCCATGAACTGCGAGTTTATGACCTGAGCTGAAGTTGGACGCCTAACCGACTGAGCCACCCAGGTGCCCCTCATTCCTAAACTTTTAAGAAGTCTAACTTATCTTAGACAACAGTAGGGAAGTGGTGCTATACTATATAACGCTCAGTATTTTCCTTTTTGAATGAGGAAATCGTAAATGGATGTTGACAAAGACAACCATGATATTCCATAAAACAAAAAAAGACTATAGATTGACATGCATGATGGTTTTATTTTCTAGTAAAAATACTATGTTGATGTAGCTGTAGAAAAAGCTTGGAAAAAGTAGTGCAGTGAGGTTCATTTTTTGGCTTTTTATGCAATCCTATGATGGCTTATGGGCGCCTGGGTGGCTCAGTCAGTTAAGTGTCCGACTTCAGCTCAGGTCATGATCTCACGGTCCATCGGTTCGAGCCCTGCGTCGGGCTCTGCTGACAGTTCAGAGCCTGGAGCCTGCTTCGGATTCTGTGTCTGCCTCTCTCTCTGCCCCTCCCCTGCTCATACTCTGTCTCTCAAAAATAAATAAAACTTAAAACAATTTTCAAACAAATAGTATGGCAGCTCATCGTCCTGTGGTCGTGTTGGACGTTAACATTAGAGGAAGCTGGAAGTAGGGTAGATAGACAGGACCCTGAACTGTTTCTGCTAGTTTTCTGTAAAACCAAAATCATTTCAGAATTAAATTGCCTTTTTTTTTTTTAAGTCTGAGAGGAGGATCGTAAGTGCAGCATACACTTGCGTGCTACCCAGGGTCCATGCGCCATACTTTGCAAATACTCATCCACTCATCCCCATGTGAGCTCCAGGGCCGAGTGCTCCACCTCGGTACTGCTGACATTTGAGGCCACATCATTCTGTCCTCCGCATTGTAGGGTTTTGAGGACATCCCAGGCCTCAACCCACTAAATGCCCCCACCCCTGCCTTCCCTACGTATGTCAGTTGTGAAAACCAAAAATGTCTCTAGGTATTTCCAGGATCTTCTGAGGGGCAAAAATCCTCCATCCAGGTTGAGAATCATTGTTTGAATGGAAAGGATAGGTGCCTTTATTGTCCTCTATTTACAGAAGGGAGAAACTGAGGCACAAAGTAAGTCATCTGCCATCACAGGGTAAGCATGAGCGCTGGGATGAACCCAGTTCTTTTTTTTTTAAGTTTACTTGTTTATCTTAGAGAGAGAGAACGTGATCAGGGTAGGCGCAGAGGGAGAGGGGCAGAGAGAATCCCAAGCAGCCAGCACAGGGCCAAAATCTAGTCAGACACTCAACGCAATGAGCCACCCAGGCTGCCCTGAACCCAGGGTTTTGGCTCCAGAGTGAGACACTAAGCCACAAACCGATGACCTTGTAGTACATCAAAGGCCTTGCAGCTCAGGGCGCCTGGTGGCTTGGTCGGTTAAGCGTCCGACTTCGGCTCAGGTCATGATTTCGCATGGTTTGTGGGTTTGAGCCCTGCGTTGCACTCTGTGCTGACAGCTCTGAATTCTCAGATTCTGTGTCTCCCTCTCTGTCTCTCTCAAAATAAATAAACATTAAAAAAAAAAAAAAAGGACCCTGTAGCTCTATTCGAAGGCTGTGTCCCAGAGCACATCCCTGCCCTAAGCCTGTGGGACCCCACCAGAGGGCGGATGAAGTTCCAGAAGGCTCTCACTTCCTACCACACGCACTTCCCACAATTTATTCTTTTCTCACCAGCCTGTGTTAAGTCACCTCCCCCCCAGGAGCTTGGGGTGGTCACACAAGCCCATGTTCTTCCTGTAACCAGAAGCAGCAATAAAAAGACGTGTCAGCTCGACTGTCCAAATACCTGAAGTCCGCAGCTTTTTCCTCTTAGTCATTTTACTCCTCCCTCGAGAAATCTGAAAACGAGCAAAATCCCATCATCAGAAGTGGCGCTTGTCCCTGGGCACGGACCCGCGACCCTCTGGCTGCCAGGATGCCTGTGGGGGGCAGGGGGTGGGGGTGGTACGGGAGGGGGTCGAGCTGGGCCCCAAGGGGACAGACACAGTGAGGGGAGTCACACCACCTTCTCAAGGCCGCCCGTCCGCCCCGGGGAGCCCTGGGGACACGCTCGAGTCCCCACATCAGGACAGAACACGTGAGGCCCCGTCCCTCTCGGCTGCGGTCTGAGGCCCTTCCAGCGACACCCGGGGACTCGGGAAGGAGCCACCTGGGGCCCTCCGAAAGGTCAGGGGGCCGTCTGGGGGGTGCCTGGGGCCGTTCCGACACGCCAACACCGACCTGGGCCACAGAAGCTGTCAAGGTCCCTCCGTCCTTATCAGGACCTGGGCAGGTCTGCCTGGACCTGCCGGGGAACACTTCGGTTAAATGACTTGCATTCGGATTTTCTGAGAAGTGAAGGGCAAAAGTGGGCCCGCGCGGAGGCCGGGGGTCTGGAGCTGAAAGGGAGGGAAGGGCAGGGAAGGCCCGAAGTCTGAGCGCTGTGGACCCGACTTCCGGTGGCCAGATGCACACTAACCCTACCCCGGCCACCTAAAAGTGTGGAATGCCCAGACCCGGGCCACCAGGAGAGGCCAGAGCCCGCAGGTGGCCGCGCGACGCCGCGAGCCCGGCGGCCGCCACCACCGCTCACACCTGCGCGCGCGCTCCACCGCTTTCCCGCGCATTCCACGGCACCGCCGTGCGCACGCGCGATGGCAGCACCGTCCCACATACCCACTCACGCTCCGCCTCTTTCCCGCGCAGCCTGCGGCACCGCCCACCGTCCGTCAGTGCGCACGCGTGCCCGCGCACTGCCTGCCGGGAGTTGTAGTTTCGGTGCGGCGGGCCCAGCAAGTCCGGTGGCTGCTCTCCCGTGCCGCGGCGCCGAGGGCCGAGGCGGAAGTGGGACGGCCACCTCCGGGGTCGAGGGCGCGGGGTCAGCGGTCGCGGGGCGCCAACCAGGGGCGCGGGGCTTAGGAAGTGCGCTTGCGCCGCGACAGGCCCCAGGGGAGGAGGCAGGGCAAGGCCAGGCGAGGTGGCCAGTGGTCCGGGCATCCAGCCTGGAAGATGCACAAGAGGAAGGGACCCCCGGGACCCCCCGGCCGAGGTGCCGCTGCCGCCCGCCAGGTAAGTCTATACCCCACGGCCCCGCCCAGGGAGCCCTTCTCACCCCTATCACAGGTTCAGAGGAGGGCCCCACCCCCCAGGGGAACCGATCACCACCCCCAGGTGAGCCCCGTCCCCGCCCTCCAGATGAGGTTCTGCCCCCAAAGGGGGGCCTAGTGGCCCCGGCTCCCCAGCTCCTCAGCTCTTGGCGCCCCGCCCTGGGCTCAGAGCCACCTGTTGCCGAAGCCTCTCCAGTTTGGGAGGGGAAGGCCTCGGACCTGGAATGAGGACAGTTACTGCACTCCTGGTCTGAACGCGCATGGAACCTCGCATCAGCCAGGCCAAGTCTGACTTTCTATCCCCCCTGTACAGATGAGGACATTGAGGCCCAGAGAGGTGAAGACAGCTTCCCAAGGTCATAGGGATTAACAGCTTGGCCAGAGCTCAGTGCAAAATCCAGAGCTGCTGCCATGAGCCCGTGGGACTGTGTCTGGGCCTCCTTTTCCCTCCTCCACCTCCTCTGCCTCAGGCCCCTGGAGAGTTTGATTTTCCTTAGCTTTGCTGGAAGGAGCCCAGGCCATAGTTTGGTCCCTGGGTATAAAAGTCTGGCCAACCTGGAGTTTCCTGCTGGCCTCTGTGTGTTGGACATCAAGCTTCACAGCTCTTACACCTCAGTTTCCTCATCTGTAAAATGGAGGCCCTAAGAGTCCCTATATCACAGCACAGTTGTCAAAATTCATGGGGATAGTTTGCGGAAAGTGCTAAAACCTAATACTCGATAAGTGTAACTTCATCATTACTGTTGAAAGGAGCCTTACATAATGGCCAGTATTTGCCATTTTGACCCACAGAAAAGGCCACTTTGTGTAGCTCAGCATAACATTGTCACAGCATTCGCTGGGATGGGTTAGGAAGACAGGTCTGTTACACGATGAAAACCCCGCTTTTGAGTTCTGTGTTGTCTGGGCTTCTGTTTGCTCTTGATGCCTCCAGCCTTCCTGCACAGCCCCCTCAGCGGAGTGTGCTGGAAGGAAAAGCCCAGGTGTACAGAGACGGCTTAGCTTTGAGCAGAGGTTGGGCCTATCTTACTTGCTGAGCTCGGTCCGCAGCACATCCGGGGCATGGGCTCGGGGCAAGGAGCAGGGGCTCTCTGCCTGCCCTTTGCCCCATGCTGATCTATGCCAGAGGGCCTGGCCCATCCTGGGACACCTGTTGCATTCTCAGCCCATTCCAGCTTCCTGGCACTTCCCGGGGGAAGTGGCTTTCTGTCAGAGTTCCTTCTTCCTGGGGTTCCTTCTTCCTGAGGGACCTCTGGGTCCGTCCTGGCTGCCTCTGGGCAGGTGGGGTGCATTCCAAGGTCTGACTGGACCCTTGCTGTTCCCTTAGCTGGGCCTGCTGGTTGACCTCTCCCCAGACGGCCTGATGATCCCCGAGGATGGAGTTAACGATGAGGAACTGGAGGCTGAGTTATTGGCCTTGGTGGGGGGCCAGCCCCAAGTCCTGGAGAAGCTCAAAGGCAAAGGTGAGACTCTCACCCCACCCCCTGAACCTTCTCTGAGCTCCTGCTGTGGGCAGGACTTGGCGCGGGGCCCTGGGGAGAAGGGGGAAAGGAGACGGAGGAGGTTTCTGCCCTCCTGGAACCCACAGCTTGGATTAAGAGGTTAAGCGATCGACTCTGGACCCAGAGTGAGGGTGCAGATCCCAGTTGTGCTGCTTACTGGCTGTGTGACTCGATGATTCCTGGCACCTGTGCGGGCCTCGGTTTCCCCGTCTGTAAAATGGGAATCATAACTGCACTCAGTCACAGGAGCTCATCTTCTCGTGTTTGTAAAGTACATCGCACAGGGTCTTGTATTTCCTCCAACATGCTTGATCACCCCTCCCGTGATCAGGGCCGGGGTGAGGGAGGCACAGAGCCATGGAAGAGACCTGTGCGCTGGGGCCAGGTGCCCGCAGGAGGCACCCACGATAAGGAGAGCCCGGAGAAGAGCTAGGAAGCACTTCTGGAAGGGACCCCAGCACGTGCAAAGCCCCCCCTCCCCCCGGGAGGTGACGGGGTCAGCAACCCTGCAGTGGGGTTTGGGGCAGAAGAGACCTTTATACTTGTTAGCGGTTTATCCTCATCGTTGACGGATTCCATGTTTGTGAATTCACCAACGGGCTAAACTTTATTTGCAACACCAAAAAAAACACTCGAGGTTTGCGATTACTTGCGGGCATGCGCAGAGCTGCGGAAAGTGCGAGTTGCTCACCTTCCATGTTCCCAACTCAGGGAGAGCAAGTTGACACTCTGCCGTCTCGTCCCAGGGCTTTACCCAAACACGGTCTGGGTAAGGCGGTGGATTTTTCTCATTTTGGGGCTCTTTGTCGGTGCTTTTGCTGTTCAAAACGGCCCCAAAGCGTAGTGCTTAGGGCCGTCTCGTGTCTTGAAGAGCAAGAAGTCTGCGACGCGCCTTACGGAGGAAGTTACCAGATAAGCTTCATTCAGACGTGAGTCACCGTGCCGTCAGCCTTGAGTTCAATGTTAACAAATCAACAATACATGAAAAAGGCATAGTGAGATAGAAGCGCCCGGCAAACAAGGTGGTGCATTGACTGGTTGGCTAAAATGTTGTGCCCAGAGGCTCATGGGATCCTAACCTTGCATTTCCTCTAGGAGCCAAGGTCCGGTCTTGGCTAAGTCGGTGTTTACGGTTATTTTGTAGGACGTAGCTACTGCAAATAATGAGAATAATTCGAATGACAAAGTGTTGACTTGGGAGAAACTGTGGGCCCCATGTAATGGGGGGGAAGACTGAGGCCCAGGGAGGTCACGTGACTTGTCCAGGGTCCCAAGTGAGCAAGCTTCAGAGCCAGGGTTGGAAGTCAGGCTTGATGAGCAAGAGACGGGGCTGGAAGGATCGGCGGGATCGTACCTGGTGGGCCTGGTGGGTGCCGTGGGAGGGCCATGGTAACTGGGACAGGAGCCTGGGGACTGTTTTTTTTTTTTTTAATGTTTATTTATTTTTGAGAGAGAGAGAGACTGAGCATGAATGGGGGAGGGTCAGAGAGAGGGGGAGACACAAAACCTGAAACAGGCTCCAAGCTCTGAGCTGTCAGCACAGAGCCCGACGCGGGGCTCGAACCTGATGATCACGAGATATGACCTGAGCCGAAGTCAGATGCCCAACTGACTGAACCTCCCAGGCGCCCCCTGGGGACTCTTGAATGATCCCAGTCCAGCTGCGGCCTCTCCCTGCCACCAGGTCCCCTGCCCATGGAGGCCATTGAGAAGATGGCCAGCCTGTGCATGAGAGACCCGGATGAGGAGGAGGGTACTGACGAGGAAGATGTGGAGGCTGACAATGACCTGCTGGTGAGCATCCAGGGCAGGGCAGGGGCCCCCCATGCTGGCGCCGCCCCACGCGGCAGCCCCTCACGTCTGGCCGGTGGCCGTGTGTCCCTGCAGGCAGAACTAAATGAGGTCCTTGGGGAGGAGCAGAAGTCTTTGGAGTCCCACCCTCCTGTGCCTCAGGTATAGCCCCACAACCTGCCCCCCGTAGCGCAGGGTTCAAGGCCCTCCCTTGCCCCTTCGGCTGTGTTACCTTGGGCAGGTGGCATGACACCTCTGAGACCCAGTTCCCTGCACCCGGAATGACGATGATGATTTCTGCCTGGCGGGAACGGGGACAGCTGGCCCCAGGGCACTGGGGCCAGCCCAAGTGGGGTCACCACCCAGAACATGCCCCCCCTGCCCGCCATCCCTCCTGCAGCCCAGGGCCACAGCCCCCAGCCCCGGGGTGGAGGCCACCTTGCAGGAGAGGCTGGCCCTCTACCAGAGGGCAATCGAGAGCGCTAGGCAAGCTGGAGATGGAGCCAAGGTGCGGCGCTACGAGCGGGGGCTGAAGGTGAGCGACCACAGGGGATGGGGGGAGCCGCGCTGGGACCCTCCCGCTGTCCCCACCGCACCCAGCCCCAGGCTCCTCTGAAACCCATTTCCCGTATTCTCCCAGACGCTGGAAAACCTGCTGGCCTCAGTCCGGAAGGGAAATGCCATTGATGAAGGGGACATCCCGCCGCCAGTGGCAGTGGGGAAGGGCCCGGCAGCCACTCTTGGCCACGCGCCCGCGCCCACCCCACCGGCGTCTGCCATCCAGCCCGCCCCAGAGCCCAGGGTCACGGTCGAAGGCCCGTCTTCCTCTGCCCCGGCGGCCTCATCCACAGGCTCAGCTAAGCCCCAGCTCCCGCCAGGTAGACCAGGGCCCGGGCTGGGCCCAACCGGGAGGGTGCAGGCGTGCTATTTATTCAGCCATTGGCCGTCCTGTGGGGGTGCAGGCCCTGCGCCGACTGTTCGAGATTCTCGATGCCCCTCCCCTCCCTAGGTCCTCACGTCTCTTGACCTAATACCTATAGCGTGACGTTGGCCACCGGAACCATTTTTCAGCACGCACTTG